GGTCAGCATGGGAACAGGGGTCACGGTGGACACGGGGGTGGGCTGTCCCTCCACCTCCTCACATTATGCTAACAGGGACACAGACACATTCAGATGCCTTTGCAGAAAGAGATGCCAGAGTCTCCTGAAGTCACAAAAGGAGAGGCGTGAAGAAATCTTGCATCTCAGCCCCACACAAGACAGTTGTCTCAGGCTACAGAAAACAACAGTCATGGACAAATTCAAGTCCGTCATGGTAAGTGATGACACTCTGAACAGCCCACCACACACTTGAAATGTCACAATCAAAGAATCTCCATTACACAGGCCTTTCCCCTCTGTCCCCCGCCCCCCACTCTAGATCCCAAGAATCTCACCTTTTCAAGCCGTGAGAGACACATCAGAGCCCTGGGCACTGTCGCTGGCTGGGGTAGAACAAAAACAGGACATGGTCAGAGCCCGCAGGAGACATGGGACAGGAGGAAGTATGAGGTCGGTGAGCTCCTCCACACTCCCACCCCCACCACTTACACGCAGCCTGAAAGTAGCTCCCTCCTCTTCCACCTGTGGGAAGAAAATACCCTGTAGCGGACTGGGAGGATGCAGGGCCATAAGATCTTAGCGGAACCTCCTAGTCTTGGACCCAAGAGAAATTTCCAGAACTATGACTGCAGACCCAGGGCAGGATCAGGAAACAGGAGGAAAGCAGCTGTGTGTCTTGGGCAAACTGTCCTCCTAAGGTTTGTCCTTAGCAGGGACCTTACCCTGCCTCCTGAATGCTGGAATCAGGACCCCAATACCATAATCATCAAGGTGATACATCCGTCCTTCATTATCGCATGTGCTATACAAAGAGTAAGTGCTGGCACACAGGGTCCCAGGCTGGGTTAGCCCCTGTGTGGATGCTGCTTCCCAGGAATGAGGCAGGGAACACTTCTACCTGGTGCTTGAAACCCCCAGAGGGACAAGAAAACCCAGACCCCACTTCTCACCCCTTCCCTACCTGAGGTCCTCCTCCTCCACATCACAGCAGCGACCACAGCTCCAGTGACCATAACTGCTAGGACAGCCAGGCCAGCAACGATGCCCACGATGGGGATGGTGGACTGGGAAGATGGCTCTGGGAAAGGAGGGGAAGGTGAGGGGCCCTGACCCTGCTGAAGGGCTCCAGAAGGGCTCCTGCTTTCCCTGAGAAGAGACATGACCCCTCATCCCCCTCCTTACCCCATCTCAGGGTGAGGGGCTCCGGCAGCCCCTCATGCTGCACATGGCACGTGTATCTCTGCTCTTCTCCAGAAGGCACCACCACAGCTCCCCACTTCTGGAAGGTTCCATCTCCTCCTGGCCTGGTCTCCACAAGCTCGGTGTCCTGAGTTTGCTCCTCCCCATCCCGCTGCCAGGTCAGTGTGATCTCCGCAGGGTAGAAGCCCAGGGCCCAGCACCTCAGGGTGGCCTCATGGTCAGAGACAGGGTGGTGAGTCACGTGTGTCTTTGGGGGATCTGATGGGAAGAGTGACAAAATTCAGGCGGTTTCCATCTCTCATGGGACACTACAGCAGCACCCATGTGACCACCCTGAGAATGAACAGGACACCTGGGGTGAGGAAGGGAGCACAGAAGCCAGACACCAGCCCGGACACAGGCATCTGGGATAATCTCCTATTCCTTGGAGAGTTCTAGACTCTGAGGGAGGAACAGGGACTTCTGGTCCTGACCTGAGTGGCGGCCGAGGGACTCAGAAAAGCTGGAATCAGACCTTCAAACACATTGAGTGTGAGGCAGAGAACAAGGCCTAACAGAAAAATTCACGGTGCCCAAGGCTGATGCAGGGTTCAAAGGAGACCCCTGATCAGTATTCTAGGGACTGTCTTCTCCTCCATGTCCTCAGAGACGTCATCCCTTAATTGTCCTAGAGAGCAGAGGGGGCCCTCAGAGGAAATCAGGGAAACTCATGCCATTCTCCATTCAAGGGAGGGCGACATTCTAGCGCTGATGCCATTTTCCTCCACTCCTCATGGGAGGCCATCCCGGGAGATCTAGAGGTGATGGGGAAGGCTCCCCACTGCCCCTGGTACCCGCGCGCTGCAGCGTCTCCTTCCCGTTCTCCAGGTATCTGCGGAGCCACTCCAGGCACCGGCCCTCCAGGTAGGCTCTCTGCAGCTCCGCCGCACGGGCCGCCTCCCACTTGCGCTGGGTGTTCTGAGCCGCCATGTCCGCGGCGGTCCAGGAGCGCAGGTCCTCGTTCAGGGCGATGTAATCCTTGCCGTCGTAGGC